GTGTTGATAACACACCGGTGTTTTGGCTACTGCTGAGCAGGGCAGACACAATATCAGCACTGTAACATTCTCTCCTCAATCAAGGGCAAGATTCTAGGAGGGGACCCAAGTGCGCCAGCTAACCCAAATTAACAAAAAGGGATATTCCATACCATGTGATGTCAGCTCAGATATAAAAGCAAAGGCAAGGAGCAGGAAGACAGGCATTCATTGTGTCCAGTGGCTGCCTGCTGAGCAACTGTTGCACATGCTGAAGCCCTGCTGCTAAGAAGTGGCTGACCATCGCTGCTCACAGGAAGTAGAGAATGAACTGTGTTATCTTTTGTTTTGCTTTGCTTTTGTGCGCACAAGCTTCCACTTTGCTTCTGCTTTAATAAACTGCCTTATCTGTACCCACAAGTTGTTTTCCATCTTACTCTCTCCCCAGTCTGGCTGTGAAGGGGAGTGACAGAGTGGCTGGGTTTAGCACCTGGTGTCCAGTCAAGGTCAACCCACCACAAGTAGTTAAGAAAAATCAAGAGAAAACTCAAGCCACAGGAATAACCTACCAGAGTGAATGATAGTTCTCTGTCAGCAGGGAGGAGCTGGCTAGTTAGGTCCTTTTCTGTTAACTCACACTTTGCTCAGATGAACACAAATGCTTCTACTTCAGTCTAAAGTTGATAATTTCTGTAAAGGTTAAACAACAGACCTCTCTACAGAAAAAGGAATATGGTCACTATTATACTACCAGTAACCTAAGCCTTATGGGAAACTGCACCTTTCCAGTTTACTGTCTGCTTCTGCAAAACTCTTGTGCTAGACTTTAGAGGTTACTAAACACCGATTCATTTAGATCAATGACCTCATCAAGAGTCATTAAGAATAATGGTAATAATGTCAACGTACACTGATTTACTCAAGCTGAGAATACAGCATGTCAAAAGAATTTGCAAACCATAAACATAAAATATTGCATCGTCATATAGATTTCCATAATGTTTGAATCAGATAATATTTGAAGTTTCAGTTCCATGAAGCACAGAATCTAGAGAGTTGATATCACACCTTGCATGCATGATATTAATGCAAGAAGAATCATGTATCTGATAATAGTGTAAGAAACAAAAACATTATATTGCTTGAGAAAGGCCAGAGAAGAGGAATAAAGAGGTTACGAATCAGCAGGGTTGTCCATTTCAGGTTCTCTGTTCTGAAGAAGTCTTCAGATTCGATGTAGAAAGGCAGTTTCAACTTACTTTGAGGACTTGTACAATGATAAAAGCTATAAATATATTTACAGCTATAAATTATAGAATTTGAGGTTCTGTTCTCAAGGAATCCAGAGTTCTTTGGCATTACTTATGGACCACTAATGCATATCTTAATCCTTAAAAAGGAGGGAATAATATGTTGCCTTTGCAACTGAATCTGTAATAAGAATCTCAGGGCATTTTACAAACATTAATCCTCCCCATTGTTCAGAAAGTCGTTACTGTTAATGTAATCATCAGCAAGCTGAGACACAGCAAGATAAAGGCCTAAATTTTGCAATGGGCTACGAGAAATGTGGGAAATCTTCACTGGTCTCTTTAAAAGATGTTTCAAAGATCTTGCAGGAACTCTTCTAACCATGTGACAGGGAGCATTCTCATATTACAAGAGGAAAGAGTGGGATAAGATATTCTCGAAGCTAGTTTTCCCCGATGGGAGAAAAAATATAAAAATTGAAATTAATTATTTACTATCCTCACAATTTCAGACAATTTTGTGAGCATTTTGAAAGACTTTCCTAAACAGTAATCTCTTGGCTGAAAAATAATGTACCCTACAAAATAGAATTTTCTCACTTCTGCAAGTAAAATGTACTTGTTTCATTGTGGGTTTAGTTGCATTGAATATACTCCCCTACAATATATTAAGTAAATTCAGTTACTAAGCAAAATGTGTATAATATTTTTTATTGCATTAAGAGGCAATAGTGTAGAATTGAGCCGTGCAAATTAAAGGATCTAAACCCTTTTGAACAATAAGTGATTTGTTTTATCTGTTTATTTTTTTAATATATCCATTTTGCAGAATTTTAGCCACTTAATGCTACTATTCTAGTAATTTTCACTAGAAAAACTCATACAGCCAATGTTCAAAAAGCTTAGAAAGTTCACTGCCATTACTCTGCTGTTCCCCAGACGAAACCCAAGACATAATGCTGCTGTGAAACATACCACCCTCTGCAGATTCATCTATTATCAGCATAGAAACTAGCATACCGAATTTCATCACTGAAATGAGGTAACATACCATTTGGAGTGAGACCAAAATTCATGTCAGAATTTCATTCTGCCTATGATTTCCTTGGTATGTTCACATATGATCAGAAGGCAGCTACAACAATAGTTCTCATTCAAGTTGCTTTCTAATCATGAAAACATTAGAAGATATCATACTTCTTTTAGTTTTTACTATACAAGACAAATAATAAAAAAATTAATCCTAAAATCTAAATTTAAGAAGTAAAGAACAAAGTGAACAAAGAAAAGGATATTAGCGTTTTCTTCCATCTCTCTCTCTCTCAATATCCAAATTTCACAGCAGAATTACAGTTGTGGAACTCGGGGAGAAGGCAAGGTTAAGGGTTGGGTGCAGAAGAAACAATAGAGCACAAATCTTTTGCTTTTAACTCAAACCATTTAGAAGGAAGAAAAGTGCCAGGTTTTTATCTTAATACAGATAAGTCAGCTTGAAGGAGCATCTCTGTGATCTCACAAGAAAAACAAATCAACATGTTTGAGCACTTAATTTTTTCCTGAACTAGACCTATTTTCCCTCATATGCCAATGGTTATGTCTCTCGCAACATGTGACAGTTTTTTCTTTCTCTGGAGCATTGCCAGAATTCATCCTTGTCTTCATCCTGCCTATGCTGACACTTCATTAATCACTTAATGGTTTTAACATTTTACTTCTTCCTACTAGATCTATATTCTGTGAAATGAACCATTGGCAAAAAATTCTTTTTTTTTTACCTTTTGGTAAAACAAACAAAGAAAGAAAAAGCTAAATAAGGGGAGTGGGTCGGTGGGGGTGGTGTGTTTGTTCAACTACCCCTCAACAGAGCTGCAGTGTCTATGTAATGCACAAATGTACCCATAGCTTCCCCTTAATTCAGTTTTCTTTTCTTCTTGTCTGTTCAATTTTCCAACCTTCAATTTTCCAACTTTCCATTTCCATTTTTCTACATGATAATGAAGAATGTTAAGGGTCTTCTCCATTTCTTGTCAAGTTAAGTGCAAACACCTACGTTATTCTGCTTTTAATGGCTTCCATGACTGATGATGAACAGATGGCAAGATTTGGTTAAGTCTTAGAGAACCAGAATGTTGATTAATAATAGAACAAATCTGGCACAAACGTAACATTCAATTTCTCTTTACTTTCTTCTTGCAATGCCTTATCTTATTTTAAATCTACCTTCTGAACCTCTTTTTAGCTTGCCCCTTTTTAATTCTGAGCAATCAATTCTGTTCTGAATATTTCCCTGTCTTGGATTTTTCTTGTCGTGATGTGTTACAACATCAGGGTCCAGGTCTTGGTCTAGATGATCCTGATGGAACACAAGCAGTTAAGTAAAATGTAAAAGTATGCAGTGTGACTATTAAGTGCTTTTCTGATTTTTTTTTTCATTGCTGTTGGCCTGTTTTTGAAGAAAGGTACAATTAAAAGTCATTTTATTATAGATGTGTAAAAAAAATTCTTCTCAACTGCAAGCAATGATTCTCTCCAGTGAAATACACCTGGCTAATAAGATACAATCTAGTAGCATGGAGGAGAAAATACAGCCAGTTCTCTTTCTTCTCCCTTTCCCAGAAGTACTTATTCATTAGAATTATGTGCAAAACATTTGTTTGACCTGAGGTTCCACCTTTCAACGCAATCTCTAAACTTGTAGTGTTCCTACTTGGATAAAAATGAGAGCAGTTAATTGCCCTTGATGTTCTTCTCTTGTCAGCCCAAATTCAAATACATCTTTCTAATCTGAGACTTATGCAAAGTAAACTAATGTTTACTCAGAACTGAGCAGATAAACCCATAACTCAATGTTTCCTAGAAGGCGTAAAGAAGATGTTTTCACTCCTCTTCACACTGTCTTAAAAGCTCATAGATGATTCTAACAGTGTATGAACCACAGAATGTATAATGCGAAGAATTCTCTTCCAAATTTTAGCCATGCTCTACATTACAAACCCTGGGCCATGCTGTTAACAGAAACTCTTGAAGGCATTCCAAAAACGTTTCTGCCAGTGTGAGTATCAACTTTGCCACTCTTTGACATGGAGAGAATGTACTTTTCCAAGATGATAGATATTTTGGCCAATGCAGAGCTGTGAATTGAAGACCTTGGATTTTACTTCATCAGTCCCTCTGTAGAAGCATTTCATAGCCTGATACTGTCAGTTGGGCTAGCCAAGAGTGCTCTCCATACACGCAGGTGGACAGGCTCCCAAAGTGGAAAAAAGGTAGGATTTCTTTTTAATTTTCGTGTACCTCCATGAAATTAGAAATTTCAGTCTCTGCTTAGGCTTAATACAATTCCAGTTGGACATAAGAAAAAGGCATGGTTTAGCTGAACTATCCATCCACCTTTAACAAAGTCTTTTAAATTATCATCACTACAATTAAATATATGGAATGAACTTTAAATAAATTTAAAACAAAGGCAGAGATGCAAAAGAACAACATTATTTTCTGTGGGTGTTGGCTGTAACAGAGCACCTTCGAGGTTCATACCTGCATGTACTGTATATATAGGGTTGTCCTACACGTGTATCCCAGGATTAAACTCTGAAAACATTTCCATTTTGCATAAAGCAGTGTTTATGAGAATACTTAGGGAATCCTTGGGTAATTCTGTTGTTGCACAAGAGCCCACTCTGCAACAGAACTTTGACATTACAACAGTGAGCCTTATACTGCCTTCAAGTTTCTCCTGTCATCTAACAGAAGTCCGAATTACATTTTCAGGTTCCTCTTGAAGGACACAGCAATTTATTGATATGTACCAACAACGTTCACAGCAGCCACTAACCTGGCATGCAGCTGCCTAAGGTAACCAGTTCTGTGTCAACACTGGAGTCCTTATTTCTTACAGACAGACCTAGATACCAGCTCCATTAGCCCTCAGCTGTAGGGAACTAGTCATCTTTCCTTTCACCCACAGGTGATGAATATTCTCTGTAATTCCCAACTTCAGAAAAAAATAAGATGGAGATAGTAGCAGTGGTTCTGTGTCCTCTAAAGCACTTCACTGTATAAGTGAAAAAACACAACCCTGCTTCAAATCCCTCACTTGTTGATTTCAGGATATGAACCAACACTGAAGACATACCAGAAAATATTTTGCATCTTTTGCACAGTAGGATATGCTCTGTAATAACTCCTCAAACCAGACCTCAGCAGCCTGTAGCTGAGACCTTGAAATGCTGACAAGCACACAGATCACCTGAAACGAAACTGAATGAGGTTTTCAATGGTTTTGAGTTTTCAGGTTCTAGATGAGACAGATGACTGTGGATGAGGACTCTGAAGAACCAGAGGGAAAAGACTACCATCAACTTTTTACTCCTGGCAAACGGACACGGGTGTCAGGAGTTGGAGGGCATGTGCTGCATGAATTTTTCAGACCACCCTCAGTCCATACATCAAAGTATCAATAAACTTAAACCTTGGTTCATGATATCCATGTTTCTCAAGATAAAGGTTTAAACAGATTATTCTATTGGCTTCATTTTCCCTCTCTCCCTAATTGGATAAATAAGTTGATAATTATAGGTGTGATTTCATTATTTACTTTTGGGGCCATTTTAACTTTCATTCCATGCATAATTGCGTGTGTGCGTAATCTCTTGTTAAAAAGTCTTTCAGCAAACCTGGTTTTAGAAAACAAAAAAGGGGGAGATGTAGATCAGGACTCTGAAGAACCAGAGGGAAAAGACTACCAGCACTGGGCTGTGGCATTGAAAGAACTCGCGGAAGAAGAGGAATGGATTTGAAATAATGGACTTGTTTAACTGAGATTGTTGAATGGAGAGAAATTACAAATTTATGGCTGTTTTAATGTTTTTTAAAAATGGTTTGTTCCTATCCCCATGTTGTAATGGTTTGTCCCACAAGAGTTCCACTCCCTTCTCATGCATATTCTATTATTATCCCTCCCTTTTATGGTCTGTACCCAATCGTTGTTTCTCCTTCCTAAAATTCCTCCCTTTGTTCACCATACTCTGGAAAGTTCTCCCAGCTCCCCTATAAAAGGGGGAGCCATTTTAATAAACTGGTTCACTCCTTTTCACCCTACAACCTGTGTCGAAACCTGAGTGAACTTCCCTGTGTCCCTAGCCCAGCTGCGTTAGATGAGTACCTCTGTTTTTCCTCAAAAGGTGGATTCAATGCTCAAGTAACCCTCCTTCATTTAAGAAGTGAATTTTTATCTGTATGAAATACAAAATACTATTAGAGAACTCATAGATGAGATGCATAATAACATGTAGAAAGTTGGGGCAGAGAGCAGTCTCAATGTTTTTAAAGCTATCATATGAAGTTAAACCAATATTTTAATAGGTATGATGCAGTTTTTACTTTCATCAAGTTCTGGCCCAGACACTCTTACACTGGTGATTTGGATTTCTCTGTCACACTCTTCAGATTTATTTTAGATGTATAAATCATCATCATGGCTAGGCTTTGTAAACGAAGATTTGAGGAGGACTCTACACACACTTGCTACAAGCACGCTGGTGGCTAAAGAGGCCAATGCGAGATAGACAAGTCTGGTTGCAAAAGGCACAGCAGAAAGACTCCTTAGGTGGTGTCGACAAGATACAGTTCTTTGTGCATTGTCTTTTCTCTTCAAGAGTGATCCTGCGTGTGTTCTTAAAAGAAGCAGGAGTGCTATAGATAGTGTGTCTCCAGACCTCCCGATTGGAGGCCAGAGTAGACCAGTGATGATGATTAATATGGCCCAGGCTGAGATGTTGTTTCAGGGAGTCCTTGTATCTTCTCTTCAGGGCTCCTCTCATGCAGCAGCCGGTGGCAAGTTCACCATAGAGCAAGATCTTAGGGAGGCAGTGGTCCTTCATCCTGGAGACGTGTCCTGCACAATGCAGCTGTGTTCTCAGCAACATGGCCTCAATACTTGTCATTGCTGCCCATTCTAGAACAGATGTATTGGTCACATAATCTGACCAGTGGATGTTTAGGATTGAACGGAGACAGCGCTGATGGAAGCGTTCTAGGAGTTGCAGGTGGTGATGGGAAATGACCCATGACTCCAACCCATATAAAAGAGTAGACAGCACAATGGCTTTGTAAACACTGATCTTTGTACTTTTCTTCAGGTGTTTATTTCACCAAACTCTTTTATGAAGCTTTCCAAAGGCACTATATGCCTTTGCTAACCTGTTGTCTATCTCTCCATCAATCTTACCATCCGAGGAGATGAGGCTACCGAGGTAATTAAACTGCTGGACTGATTTGAGCTCTGATTCACCAGTGGTGATATGGGGATGATGGAAGACTTCCTGAGGTGCTGGTTGATAGAAAACTTCTGTCTTCTTCAGGCTGACTTCCAGCCCAAAGAGCTCAGCAGCATCTGCAAAGCAGGATGTTAAACGCTGCAGAGCTGCTTCTGTGTGGGCAACAAGGGCAGCAGAGTCAGCGTAAAGCAGCTCCCGGATAAAATGGTTTAAGGTCTTAGTGTGGGCCTTCAGTCGCCTTAGGTTGAAAAGGCTTCCATCAGTACAATATTGAATGTAGATACCATTTTCTTTGTCGAACTCTGCTGTGGCCCTTTGGAGCATCATGCTGAAAAAGATTGTGAACAGAGTTGGTACAAGAACGCAACCTTGTTTCATAAGACGTATAAATATGTAGATAGGCAATGTTTTGACAAAAAATTGACTCAGATGTTTTCCAGAATTGTAATCTTCCAAGTCATCATTTATGAAATGCATATTTTGAGAACAGAAAACTTGTTTATGTCAGAAAGCAGTCTTGGCTCCCTTATGCCTATATACTTTTTCATACAGTCTTATGATTATTTGTTTAAAATATTGGTGATTATACTCAATTTCTCTTTTAAAATTTGATTTTATGTTTTATTAAAGCAATAACAGCACTCTGTAGTTGAACAAGGAGACTAGATGAGCTCTGATAAAATAAGATTGAACATCCCTCTCTGCCAAAAAAGGAGTTTCTAACCTTCTGCATTTAATGAGTTTAGACTCACAGAGCTGCAGTGAGAGAAGGACATCCACTTCTTCTAAAACAATCCTTATTGAGATGTCTATGCCCAGTTAGACATTGGATGCTTTTTATTTTATTTGCTCAACACCAGGTATTGAGGAAATTGGGTTAACACAGCTTTCCCTTCTGAAGCTATTGACTTTAAAAAAAAAAAAACAAAACAAAACAAAAATGATAACAAAACCACTTCTTGGCCACTTTTGCCCTATGAGCTGTGGAGTGCACAACAAGCAGTCACTGAACAGTATTGTTTTCTACCCATCACAGTGCAAAAAGCTCTGATAAATTGGAACAATAAAGGCTTCAAGCATTACAATCAATACTTAATAGAATAGTGTAAATCCAGCTTGTGTATGACTTGGGGATTGCGTTCTCTCGCAAAGAGCAAAAGATTAATGCACAGCAGTAGAAGTGCATCTTTTTTCCCTGCAGTCTGAACTGTAAGAGAAACACAATAATGTGCTAAAGTTGCTTTGCTTGTATTGTGGAGTTATTACTACTTTTTTCAGCCTAGCTTAAAAGGAGCCAGAGAGATGTTGTGTCTCCCAGAGCTCTGTAAAAACCAAGTTAATGGTATTCTCAGTTTTTAGACATATTCACACATCATCCATCTGGTTGGGAAGAAAAAAAACCCCAGATTTCAATAACAAAAATTGTACAGATCTGCCTTTAGGCAACAGAAAATGCATGTCATAAGGGAATAGCCATGAAGTGTAAAGGAGTGTTTAGATCTTAGGGCTTATTGACTGGAGACTGTAAAGGAGATGTGAAGGATGTGTGAAAAATCCTAAATAAAAGAACTCGAATAGCATATAATGTGGGTAAGAAAATGTGCTAGAAAGGAAGGCAATTGTCACTAAAGAACATGGTAAGGGGGGGTAGGATGGAAGAAATTAATAACAAGAATGAAGATAAGCAGCATTCTGCATCCAGGGCTTGGTTCAGGTAGTATGTTGTATTCTGCAATTCAGTCAATTGGGTATGTTCCTATCAGAAAGAACAACACTCAAAATGTACAAATTAATCTTTCCTCTCTCCTCTTTGTCTCTATCAGGTTGTACTTTGACTTCAGATGAGGAAAAATCAAACTCAAGAGGCAGTGGAAATGTCAGAAACAGCAAAGAGAAATCATATTTTTAATGCTCACTCCACCCATTCAAGAGACATTACTAATTAGAAAATCCATTTGACAAAAATGGCAACTGTAAGGCATATAATATTGGGTTTTGAAGTTAAACAATAGAACAGGAAGAATGAACAAAGATTGAGTTATAACCTGTATTTTTTGGATGCACATAGGAAATATCATGCTTGGTCATGTGCATTCCAATATCGGGTCCAAAGCCTCTTGGAAGGTTTGGGCAAAGCTTCTTCTTTTTTTTTTTCCCTTCTCCCTTTACTGTTCAAATGACGCAAAATGTCATTTTTCCACTTACATGAATAGAAGACAAGCATAGAGGTATGCTTGGGCCTGGTTTCCTGCTTCTGCAGGAAACACAACAAGGTAATATCTTTCTTCAACTTCTAAAGCCCATAATGAAAACTTTCTGTACAAGTCATCTTTCTGGAAGAAAAGAAGCTAAAACTGTCACTTCTGTATTCCAGATAATATGATCAGAAATTCTGCACTGGGATATCAAAGAAGAAAAAAAAATTGGTCAGAATAGTCTGAAAATTTCTGTTCATTGTTTATTCATAAATCTAAGTCTTAGCTGTGTATTAAATAATAAATTAATTTTTTTAACTTAAACCCAACAAGCCCAAAAGTCTAGGTTCGATTTGAGCTAGTATTCAGTAATAAGGTCTAGTAGAAAAATCAATACTTCTATAAAAATTTTAGTTCAATCCTTGGTAGCACAAAAAAAAAAAAAGTAGAAAATATTTAAAAAGCTGTAAAGAAATAACAAAACAAAACAAAAAAACCAGAGAAAATAATTAAGCCACTGTACAAATCCATGGCATGCCTGCCTCTTGAATACCATGGGGTACTAAATTTTCCATCTTGAAGAGTGAATAGAAGACCTGGAAAATGTTCAAAGGCAGCAAGAAAGCTAATCAAATCCTGCAGTACTGAAGAACAATTAAATAGGCTTATACTCATCAGCCTGAAAAAGATGCGAGACTGGCTGTGGTGAAGTTTTATAAAATCATGGGTGGCAGAAAGGCAGTGGAAATGGAACTACTAGTAAAGCAACAGGAGTAACATTTCCTTCTGTCTGGAAAGCTGAAGCAAGATCACATCCTGCAGAGGATATACCGTACATATACTACTTTGTGCTGTGCTAGCATTTCTCCACTTCACCTGTATGTGTGGCTATGTGCAAAATGAAATGGGATACAGCAATCCAGAGTCTGTAGAGACGAAATAATGCAAAAGCATTGTTTTACTACCAACACCTTACTACCAAGGCATTAGTTGCAAGGTCAACCATTCTTCCTGTCTTTACCTACACACCACTACAGAGCTTCACAGAGTTGAAGTTTATTCTCCCCACAGACATCTGACTAGTATGCTTCAAATGTCTGAAAACAACACTGTAGTTAATAAAGCAATAGAATATATAAATTAAAATATCTCATAAATATCTGATGAGAATTAACTCAGAGACTTCTGTGGTCAGATTAAGATCTCTATAGATATCCAACCAAAAAAGTTTGAAGAAAAGATAATTTTCAAGTATTAACACTGCCATATTATTCAGAAAAGAAGTTGACACAAGGCCTACTTCAGTTGCTGACCTAATTTAACAAAAAGTCATCTCATGGGACAGACTTTTAGTGACTCTGAGGACAGAGCTTAAGAAAGAGATGAGGGATGAAAACCTGCCATATGCTATAACATATGTACAATAACATTTAATGCTTGCACTTCAATGAATTAATGTCAACATCAAGCTCTCCAATTTAAGCATACCATGATAAATCCCAAAATGAGTTTTACACAGAGAACAGCCACATTTATATAAAAAAAGCCTGGAGAGTTGTCCAATACTATTACTCTTCTGAAAAGCTAGTAACACACATAAGTACAATATTTTAATTTTAAAATCTGACTGTTTTCTGTTACAAATGACACTAAAGTTAGAGCATCTGATGGTAGAAACTGCACCAGGTAAAATGCCCCATATCTCTTTTCGCGACTTTTCGACAGGGCCTATATGAATTATTATTATTATTTACCACTTGTACCCAAAGGCCCCTTCTAGCCCAGAGACACACTGATTCGTTATGTTATAAATAGTAGGCAAATTCTGGTCCTACTCAAAAGAATTTACAATCAATGACTCCTCAAAGATTTTATACTGTCCTTAAAATACAGTTCAAGAGGTTTAACTGACTTCATAAAAACTGAAGATTTCTCAATATTAAGTTTGTAGAAAGATTTTCGTGGGACATGAGCTTATGACCTCATCCGGCACAGATCATCTGAGTTTGTCTACAAAATCATGTTACAAATATGTACAGCATGAAATGGGAATTCATTTAAACCTATTTGGAAATGAAAAGAAATGACATATATATTTTATGGAAATACTGTAAAAGGACATTTCTGAAACTGCTCCTTGTGGATGAGGTTTGTCAGGATTTTGAGAACTCTTAGAAGTCAACTTCCTTGCTTTGTAACAAAACAAAACAAAATTGAACAAAAATCTAGTATGCCATTTTTAGAAAAAAATTTGTCAATTTGATATGTTCAATCACTGGAAAGGTAAACAAAACAGCCAAGATTTCATTGGAAAACTGTTTGAGAAAGCTGGGTTCTGTTTCTATAGCCATGACTATAAGTACCATGTGAAATCAACTACAAATACCACATGAAGTCATACTGAAGCCATAGTAGGCTAGAATTTAGAAGAGATTATATCTCTGTAAATAGATGTTCCTCAGAACTGTTTTAAAATATTGTAACTTTCAAGAATAGGGAATGTGTACAAGGCCTGTGTACAACCACAACTTTGGAGAGCAATGTTTGGGCTGGGATGAGTGCTTAAAGGAGGAAGAAGTTGATTGCTTCTTTATCCCCCTGATATTTGCTGATAATTTTCCTGGCATATCTCTTCATTACATTTCTCAAATATAGAAGCAGCTAAGTTTTACCAATATAAATGTGATTTCACCAATGTTACTTCAGGTAGCAAGCTGCAGAAAGAGGAGAAAAACTGTCCTTCAACAACTAACTTACAGTAACTCACACTGAATTTGTACTACTATCAAAACTCAAAATATGTATTATGTATTTCTCTATCATTCAGTGCATTTGAGAAACAAGAGGCAGTTCTATTTCTTTGCCACTTCCAATGTGCAACGAAGATAATTTTGCCCATATTGTACAAAGGTACATATTTGAAAGCCCGCTACATATGTAGCACATTGACAAGTAGTGGCATAACAACAGAAAAACAAAGAAAAACACAGAAAAAATCCAGGGCTCCAATGTCTTGATTATCAAGACCAGCTTAGTTCTATGTTCACTTTGTGCCTCATTGTCCCCAGTTGTAGGCTATATTTTCTAAATTAAAATTTACAAAACCTCTGTTTTGGTGATGGTCAGTTAATCCTTTTGCAACATTATGGAAGTGCTAAGTACTCTAAGCATTCAAGATAGGATAATGCAGTACATTTGTCCCTTCTTCACATAGATTTAACACAGTGAAAACTATCCATACATTACAACATATGGCAGAATTTCAGTATCTCTTCGTATACCTGATTCCTCATTCTTAGTGTAACCAAATGGCTCTTTCACAGGGGGATGCTGAACTAAACTGGGCCACAGACTGAATTATTTTTGTATTTTGTTAGAGCAGGTTGATGAGAGAAAACTGAGAAACCAAAACAGACAACAAATTCTTTTTCACCTTAAAAGAAAAAAATAATTACAATTCAAAGTACAGTCATGCCATACAGAGCACATGCATTTTTTGGCTTTTTCAATAGACTTTTAGAATTTTTTTTCCATCCTCCTTCTAACAAACCAATAGCATTAAGTGACCAGTAGATGGTAATTTTTTTCTTATTCTAGCTTTTTTCCTCAAATCCTTTCAGAAAATGAACTTTATGGTACATACTAGAATGCTCAGTTTCAAAATTACCTTCAAAATTACCTTAAATTTACCAAATAAACCTCTGCACTCAGGATTTCAAATGCAGTCAAATTTTTCAGCTCTATTTCTTTCCATTTTAAAGGTGAAGCAGATGCTTCATTCTCAGTAGGCTGTGAGTCTCTATACCTCTACACTATCATATCACAGAAATATACCAAAACCTTTATTACTATTTTACAAAGAGAAATACTGGAGACTGGATTAACTATGAGAACAACTGAAAATAAAATCTTGAGTTGTGGTATGGAATCTAATATTTTCATAATCATCATAAAGAATGGACAGTAAAATCTTGACTGTGTTTTCAAATGAAGTAAGAATGGCACTCAGGTCAGATGGAAAACTGATTTAAATAATCATAAAACTTGATTTATGCACAGTACATAGTTTTGAATACCCAAAAATATAATCCTATGGAAACAACAATTTCAGTAGATTACTGTCCTTACCAGTATCAACTATAAATGTTTTGCGGCCATTAAGAGAGTTCAAGGAAAAATAGGAAGACAAATGCTCCAATAGGAGCAAAATCTGTAGGAAGAGAATCAAGATCCCTGAAAAATGAGCTGCGAAAAAGATTGAATTTCTACATCCTTTCTCATTTTGCTGGCCTGCTGAAGTCAGCTCTCGGTGCTGAAGTTAGTGCAGTTAAAGAACAGTTACCACATTTACATCAGGTTGCAGGGACCTAAAATTGAAACAAAAATTGAAAATGGCATCACAGAAAAAGGCTTTTTTAAATAGTTTTTAGTTTATTTTTGCTTCAGCTCTACACCAACAAATTCAGTGACACAACTCCAGCTGATCAAGTCACATTTCTAGATGTGATAGTACGGAGCAGAGCAAAAGCACTCAGGATAACCAATAAAGATACTAGAAATTTCAAAATATTAAATAGTTGAATTAACTCAAGTAAGCTTAAGTATATATGTATATATAAAATAACTTTTAAGCCATGTGAGACCATTTTACAACACACTTTTAGCAAGTAATGCCTCCAAGTCAAATAATTTATGATTGAATTGTAGAATTTCTTTCAGAATGTTATCTTCGCTTAATTTCAGACCAGAAAGAATCCACTGGAAGAACGTTGGGAGTTTTGCTTCAAAGACCATTGTACTACTGAAAATTCACTCCTCAGATCCAGTGTGATTCTGTTTAATTCTTTCCTTTGCTTTATTAGACTCATTATGGCCACTTTCTGGAAGAAAGGAGAGGAATTACATTACCTTACACCTTTCACCATGTAAGTAATTAGAAACTAGTATTAAATTGTCATTTCTCATTCTGATTAATTAGAATATAGAATTTTTTATATATATATCTTATTACTGTAAAGTATTTTTGCTGTTCCTCGAATCTTTCTTGTGACGAATCACTTCCAAAGTTCCTTAGAGTTTTCTGGATTAGGAAAAAATAATCAAATTCCTTTGGGTTTTGTTTCTGAAAAATAGAATGTCAGCCACCAGAGCGTATCACAGTAGTTGTATATACATAGAAAAATACAGAAACTCATATAATTTTCTTAGAAAGTTATAGAAAATAGGATAATGATAACCTAGTCATGTGCCTCATCATAAAGTAGATTTTATTGTATGCATGTAGCAGAAGTGTAACCAATATATTGCTGATGGAATCAAGTCATTAATAAGTGTTTGGTATCAAGGCGTACCAAGGTGTCTGTTGCTTCATGTTAATTTGGACTGAAAACTAGAGGTATTTTTACTATTTTTAAAAAAGAGCTGTGCTGTAACAGTCCAAGATCTTTTTAAGCTGTCACTGGAGAATTTTCCACAGCCAAAAGTAAGTTAATCAGAGTTCATCTTCAGATGTAAGAAAGTGTCCCAGAAATTATTTAGTGAGTTTGAAGACATAAAGCAATGTAAAACTAATCCATATATAAATATTTTCTACAGCGACTTGCTGTCTAAAACAGCAGCATAATCATAGCCTAAATCTTCAGGAGTCAGATTTGGAAAGCACATAAGAATGACAAACAAAGCTTTTTTGTAATAGGTTTATGTATAGGTAAATATGCCTGCAATTTACTCAGCATATGTTTGACTGCAGTTAGGCAGATGAACTGGAATGAAACAACTAGAGGTTTTTCCCCTACTTCAGTCAGACTGAAGCAAAGTTGAGTCTTCCTCAAATGCAAAACCAGCTCATTAACTCTTTTGTTAGGTTTGTGTTACAACTTCCCAATAAACTATTACTTAAATATTATGAGGACAGGCAACAGCAGGCTAATTCTCATTAGCATCAGAGTTTTGCCCAAACATTTTTTATTTCCATAATTAAGCTGGAAATCTTTACAAAAACTTTTCTTGTAGATTTTCATGTCTGTACAGCCTAGCAGGAAAGAAAAGAAAAGCAGGCGAAACTGAAAGAAACTTAACACCTCAGCAGTATCTTTCAAAGTTGAATGGTTTGAGATTCACAGTATGAAGACCTGATTTCCTCTAATGGACATTATATCTGACACCAGTAGTTTTCTGTATAAAATCAAACTCAAAATGGTGTATTTCATGTACACATATATGCAAGTGATTCTTTGCAGCTTGCACAAGTGTGGTTTTGCTGTACAGGCAACATACAGCCCAGGTTCATGCTCAAGCCACATGAGTTCTATTAGCATGTCCACCTAGCCTGAGCATTTTGATCAAGCAGCTTATGTTTTGCACCATGCAGAACAAAAGCTGCTTCTACAGAATAAGCCCATCTTGATGGATTTGAGGCCTGTGCATCCCAGTATACTGAGATGACCTTGTCTTTTGGATAAAACAGGACCAGTTTCTGAATCAAGAAGCAAAGAAGATCATAAACATTCCCTCCTAAAGGACCATTTTTTATTATCACATCTACATTTCCGCCTATGAATAATACAAAAGCTATATCTGGGGAAGCTGCAAAGACTGCAGAGAAATTCAAAAGCTGTCTTGGCATCATGAAAAATACATCTCAGGAAGAGTCGCAGGGACAAAAAAAGTCATAACAAAAATATAATTACATGGCAGATGTAACATGATGAGCATAAAAAAGTAATTACACAAAATGACTGCTCACAACAGCAGAAGATTTATGTTTTCAGGAGCTCCCTTTAGTCTCCATATAAATGAATTTTGCCTTAATTTAGTCAGGTAAGAGGAAGAAGTGCAAGTACTTCATCTGTTGGGTGGCCTCTTTCTGAGTTTTAAGAGCATCAGTTTTTCTGCATGAGATGCATGCAGGCTAGTAGCCAGATAATTGTACATTTTTTGTGTTCCACTTTGCAGAGAGATATCTGGAAGCTGAGCCACTTCTTTAGACTTTGACAAATGTCCTAAAACAAGCTTATCTTTCTCCCTATTTGGAACATGGTGAGAGATACTCTGGGTTTGTTGGGCAGGATGGGGGGCATCTTTTACCCTTGGTGCGTTTTTTTTTTCCTTTAGAAAGGAATAGACTTCAATGACATTATTATATATTTCAATATGTATTCTATCACAAATAGTTCCTTTGAGTAAGAGAGCTGGTTTCAGCTGGGACAGAGTTAATTGCCTTTTTACTAAAAAAAAAGATTTTACAAAAACTTTTTGGTTTGGGTTTAGTATGAGAATAATGCTGATAACATACTGATGTTTTAGTTATTGACAAGTAGTTCTTACCCTAAGGCAAGGACTTTTCGTTTTCCCATGCTCTGCCAGCCAGCAGGTGCACAAGAAGCTGGGAGAGAGCACAGCCAGGACAGCTGACCCAAACTGACCAAATGTCATGCCCAGTGTATTGGGACCCATTGATCTCCTGCTGGAGGGTGGGCTGGATATCATTCAGTGGGTGCTGAGCAACTGTTTCTCTTGTTTCTCTTGGTAACTTTCCCTCTCTCTTTTTGTTATCTCCCTTATTATTAGCATTAGTAGTAGTAGTTGTTGTTGTTGTAATTATTATAATATTTTACTTTATTTCAATTCTTAAACTGTTCTTATCTCAATCCATGAGTTTTACTGGTTTTTTGTCCTGATTCTCTTCCTCATCCCACTGGAGGGGGGCACGGGGTAGTGAGTGAGCAGCTGCATGGTATGTAGTTGCTGACTGGAATTAAAACATGACAAGCAGGCAAACACTGAGTCTTAAAACCACCATAGGGAGTCTCTCTGTATGTCTTTCTGATCAGACAGAGGCAGCAGGATATATCATCTCAGATTTAGTGTTTGACAGACTAGTGTCTCTATACACAGTCTGAAAGCAGTAAGCCTGTTTGGAAAAATGCTTGATAACTTAAAGGTTCTATTTACTAATGAGTTAAAAGCTACTTCTAAGAAATCTAACAGTTCCCAAAATAAAGCAAGAGTGGCACAACAGTCAGTAGTCTAATTCAACAATTTCAGAAAATAACACAGCAACAACCACGAAGATTCATTTTGATAATATAATAATAAACAACTCTTTCTTGTGTACCAACAAAATGAACTAAGTCTCTAACTAAATGACATGAACAAAGACTTCTTCTGTATAATCTGAAGAATAAGGAAACTTTCTAGCTTTGACATGAAATTATGTGGAAGCATCCTTTGCTCAGATTCAGCGGGCAGTATTGCCAAGTGAGGAATCAACTGAAATTTTTAATGTGCTTCTTTTACATGTTAATTTATGAAAAGGTCAGGTTTACCTCACAAAACAAAACTACATGTTTGGGCCAGGTTTGACTCTGGATTGAGTTCTGGACTGTGCAACATACACGCGACATCACAAAAATCATTTAAGCACAGGAGCAAAGTCAGCTCAGGTTTCAGCAGTTACACATCTTAGTTTCAAGCTTCTAGACTGTCTATCACTCACTAAATATTTTCACAACTGATTCATGGAAAGTGTGCTCTGGAAATTATTATTAATAATTGCTTCAGTGATGTAATGACAGCAGGGTCTGCTTCTGCTCCTACTTCATCCTTGTGGTGAAGAATCAGACCTTTCAACTATACTTTTTAACAGTAGCTTTTGTATGCTTTGCTACACTTTTCTAATTTTTTATTACACTTGAACGGTGTGGCTGAATATGCCTAACACAGACTAGTGCTAGCCATCTGGGCTGTATTTCACTGCCTACAAACCCAACCCACTCTCTGTAACTTAATAGCTTAAATATCTTTTTCTTAAATACCTCTGTCTCATCTACACTGGACACTGTCTTGCTGATTAAAATGTTAAGACTGAAAAATCCATTAATTGTTTCTACAATGGGCTGCAAAATACAAATAGCAATTTGTTACATTCAGTCTATAATTAGGAGTTTATATTTTATTTTCTGCCTTTTTATCCCTGCAAATATTTGGTTTTTCCTGACTCTATACCAAGCAAATCTTTTTCCTGTTTCATTCACACTGCCACGCTGCATCTCTGTTTTGGCCAACAAACTTTTGCTGATCTACCATTAGACAAAAATTTGGAAATTTGTATCAATTTTTAAGGGAATAGTTAAGATCATTATGCATACATATACAAATTTAATTCAAGAAGTCTATGTCCCTTTTACAATGAATAACTTCTAATTTTTCAGTTTAAATCTAGCAATCAGCTTCTATGGCTGAGGGTTAGCTTATTCCTTTGATGTTGGCTAGTAAGGATCCTTGGAACAAAAAGATATGCAATAAGCCAATAATTCTGCCTGCCTTTCTGCTGCTCTTGAGGGTATCTCAGTTCTGGCAAACAGACGGGTAATGGGAATTAGAAGGAGGGGAAAAAAACAGCAATAAAAAGATAAATCACAAAAGGAAGGAAATCCATTTGGGCCTTGGCAGCAAAGACACTGCTCAGCTAATCCATGCTGAGTGCAATCCAATACTCCTTTATATAATCCTGTTCTTGTGGAAGAAAATTAAAGTTTAATGCAATAAAGGCTGACACAAATCACTTTTGTTGCTCAGGAGCAGATTAAAGAATAGTTAAAATCATACAAATCTGATTTATTTTCTGTTGTTGCTGCTTTATTTTATAAAGTGGCATATTTATTTTTTAATTCACAGCATCAGTTTTTGATTGTTAAACATATATTCCCAATTTAAGAGAGATTTTGTGATGGAAAGAAAATAGTGACAGGAAAGAAATGATTAGTTCTTAAATGGTACATGTTAAATGTCTTTCAAAATTACATAAATTTTTCATGTTTCATATGAGTCCTTGCCTTTAATCAAGGAGACTTTAAAATAAGCATAAAGGAAGTAGAGTTCTATCATTCACAATTGGATCTGTACAGGTCACTCCCATTAACTATCACTCTTGTATACATACGCATTTGTTGTTCTGCAACACATCAGAGATCTGTCAACAATGGAACAAAGTGAGAATTTCTGCAAGAGAGACAACAATGTGAGAGTGTGGTGACCCTAATCTTCCATTTTATTACTCCAGCCATCAGCCTTAGCGTGCTCTTTGTTGGCAAGTTGAACTGCAAAAAACAAAACAAGACAAAACAAAATGAAAACAGACCCTGGGCATATTATACTTCACACGATACACTCTTTCATGACAGAAAAGGTTAGAATTTATCTGAAATGTTGATCAGACTTATGACTGTGTTGGAATAGGATCAGGTTTTTAATTTTCTTTGCCTTTGTCCCCAGCTCCAATATATCCTCTCGCACAAAATCCTTTGGGTAATTTCCCTACTACTCTTCACATTGGTGGTACAACATAACTGCAGAGTATGTGGAGAGAATGCAGGAGTCATTGAATAGTTATCATTTTTCCCAATAGAGCTGTCAAAATATTACCCAAGGCACTTGAGAAGTTTGTGAAATACTATATGGAAGTGGAAAGGTTGCATAATTTCTCCAGTATTTCACTTTTTCACATATATTTTTGCAGCAATATCTCTGCAAGTGTATGATGCATTCTTACAGAGGGAATGGGCTTCTGCTGAATAGAACTGGTGTTAAAAATATACCTTAAAAACATGCAAAGACTTATTTTATTTTCCTTGTATTATACTTTCCTCTTTCAGACTGTAGGTAAGGAAAAGCTAATGTCTTGTGGCAGTTCAAGCCCTCATTACAGTTAGATTTAAGGGATTCTCCAGAACAGGTTTTTGAGCAAGCTATTTGCCTGGAAATGCCACTTCGTCAGGAAGAACAGAAAGGAAATAAATCACAAAAAAATACAAAATCTAATATCCTAGGAGAATTCTATAGGAAGAAAATAAAATTTGAACAGTTTTATTGTGTCTCTGTGACACCCAGACAACTTTTTGTCAGAAACTATTCCATATCATCTTGACACCTTTTCTTACCTTACACTTGTTCTTATCTGTGGTACAAAGATTAGGCCATGGGAAATTGCACCAGCCAGGCCAAAGTAAAAAGGTAACTTAAGAATTATCTCCTTCCTGAATTTCAATATGCATGTCTATTTAAAACTGAGAGTTTATCAAACTGGTTTTTTTTCATCCTTTTTTGTTTTATTCCCGTTTTTGGGTTTTTTTACTCCAGTTTTAAATTGGACATATTTCTGGTTTGTTTTCTTTTTTTCTTTGAAACACTGATTCCAATTTATTTGGCATGTAGAAACAAGTCAAGAGAGAGTATATGGCAAGATTTGTATAAAGTTATGAGGACATGGTCCCAACAACCAAGTTTTAGTTAGAGACAGTGTACTTTAAAAGACTAGAATACTTCCAGTAGAGAAAATGCAAGGGTCTCATTTTCCCTCTTTACCTCTTCTGTATCCGTGTGAAGAACACTACAACAGCATATTTTATTACCCTATTATATTGTGATCTACTCTAATTGTATGGGATGAGTCAGCAGTGGCAAAACTCAGTCACTGGTGTCTGGAGTGACATTGGATCTGTAGGTCAAGCCCTGCTTTGCCAGACCACTTGAATTGGTTTCCTGTGCATTGTGGAAAAGTATTAAATGCAGTGCAGAAAAGAGGAATGGGGGATGGGGTGTCTGTTTACATGTAACTATGTGTCTGTGTATATGTGTTTTCTAATCTCTTTGCAGCTTGCCAGCCTGAAACTGCAAATGTCATCATCATGAAGGCAGCAGTTGAATCCAACAGGTGGGGTAATAAGCCATGACGTTTCTAGCAGGTTTATTTGTAAGGGGTGTGCTGCATCAAGACCACAGACATAGATTTTACTCCTTGTCCACATGAACTAAGGTGTAAAGTTTCCACCTCCAGTACACTTTATGACCTTTCAGGTGTGTAAACCTCTAACGTATATCATTCTCATCTTTGCTGGTTCAGCTGCCAGATGGTGACAACCTGCTAGACTCTGTGTCTGGTCTAATGGTGATTTACTGCATAGTAGAATTAAAGCATTAGCATGGTATTCCTGTCTACCCAACCTAAAGAGCTTTTTGGTGGTTGTGGGAGAGGCTTCCTTGAGGAAATTGCAATATACAGGGATTTGCTGTGAGCCTATTGCCACCTACTGCCAAGACAGTTCATAAATTTACATCTATGACATCTATGCTCCAGTTTTTTTCATTATAACTCTTCCTTATGACAATTTAGTAGCTGCATTCTCAATAAAAGGTCAGGCTGCTACTGAAGAGTAACTCAAAGCCTTTATTTCATTTACAATTTTTTCCTTATTCTAAAGTATAAATACGTTAGAAAAACAGATCTCATTAAAAGGCAACGTATATTTTTAAAGTTCTAAATTAGTATGTCATTTACATCCAGTTACTTTACTGGTGTCTGAAGAAACCTTAGGGTTCTCCCTCAAGAAGAACAAGGACTGGTTTGATTAAAACAATCAAGTGATCCAGGAATTGTTGAGGAAGAAGAGAACCGCCCACCAAGCACACCTTGCACTGCCATCCTGTCACGTGAGAAAAACAGCCTTTCATCTTGCATGCAGCAAGCTCCAACAGAAACTCCATGACATCCAGAACAAGTGGTGGATCAATCTAGCTGAAAAGACACAATTATGTGCAGATACAGGTGATCATAAAGGATTCTATGAGGCCCTGAAAACAGCATATGGGCCTACATACCAGGTCCAAAGTCCTCTACTCAGCGCAGATGGTCAAACGCTTCTGACAGATAAAACCTCCATTCTGAATCGATGGTCTGAACACTTTCAGACCCTTTTCAGTACTAGCCATGTAGTCCAAGACACAGTCATTCAGTCCATCACACAACAACCGGTGAAGTATGAATTGGATACTGCCCCCACTTTAGGAGAATCCCTTAAGGCCATTCAACAGGTGAAAATCAGCAAGGCAGCTGGGGTTGATGGAATTCCACCTGAAGTCTGGAAACATGGGGGCCTTGCACTCCATGCTAAATTTCATGAGTTCATACTACACTGTTGGGAACTAGGTGAACTACCATCAGAATTTCGTGATGCAGTCATCATCACCCTATATAAGAAGAAAAGAATTAAATCAGACTGTCCAAATTACCGTGGTATTACTCTGCTCTCCATTGCTGGCAAAATCCTGGCAAGAATACTCTTGAACAGACTAATACCCGCTATAGCAGAAGGAATTCTACCTGCATGTCAGTGTGGTTTCAGAGCCAACAGGAGTACCACAGACATGGTATTTGTTCTCAGACAACTGCAAGAGAAGTGCAGGGAACAGAACAAAGGTCTCTATGTAACCTTTGTTGATCTCACCAAGGCTTTCGATACTGTAAGCAGAAAAGGTCTGTGGCAGATTTTGGAACGTTTAGGTTGTCTCCCCAGTTCCTTAAAATGATCATCTCACTCCATGAGGACCAACACGGCCAAGTCAGATATGGCAATGCACTTTCTGAGCCCTTTCTAATAACCAATGGTGTGAAACAAGGCTGCGTTCTCGCATCAACCCTATTCACAGTCTTGCATGATGCTCCAAAGGGCCACGGCAGACCTCGAGGATCAGGACGGTATCTACATTCGATACCATACTGATGGAAGCCTATTCAACCCAAGGCAACTGAAGGCCCACACCAAGACCTTAAACCATCTTGTCCGGGAGCTGCTTTATGCTGATGACGCTGCCCTTGTCACCCACACAGAAGCAGCTCTGCAGCGTTTAACATCCTGCTTTGCAGACGCTGCTGAGCTCTTTGGGCTGGAAGTCAGCCTGAAGAAGACAGAAGTTTTCTATCAACCAGCACCTCAGGAAGTCTTCCATCATCCCCATATCATCACTGACGAATCAGAGCTCAAATCAGTCCAGCAGTTTAATTACCTCGGTAGCCTCATCTCCTCAGATGGTAAGATTGATGGAGAGATAGACAGGTTAGCAAAGGCATATAGTGCCTTTGGAAAGCTTCATAAAAGAGTTTGGCGAAATAAACACTTGAAGAAAAGTACAAAGATCAGTGTTTACAAAGCCATTGTGCTGTCTACTCTCTTATATGGGTCCGAATCATGGGTCATTTAACATCACCACCTGCAACTCCTAGAACGCTTCCATCAACGCTGTCTCCGTACAATCCCTCCTAAACATCCACTGGTCAGATTATATGACCAATACATCTGTTCTAGAACAAGCAGCTGTCACAAGTATTGAGGCCATGTTACTGAGAACACAGCTGAGTTGGGCAGGGCACGTCTCAAGGATGAAAGATCACTGCCTCCCTAAGATCTTGCTTTATGGTGAACTTGCCACTGGCTGCTGCATGAGAGGAGTCCCAAAGAAAAGATACAAGGACTCCCTGAAACAACATCTCAGCCTGGGCCATATTGATCAACATAACTGGTCTACTCTGGCCTCCAATCGGGAGGTCTGGAGACACACCATCTATAACGCTGCTGATGCTTTTGAGAACACACGCAGGATCACTCGAGGAAAAAAAGACAATGCAGAAAGAATTGTGCCCTGCAGAATTTACCACCTAAGGAGTCTTTCTGCTGTGCCTTTTGCAACTGGACATGCCTGTCTCATATTGGCCTTTTTAGCTACCAGCGCACTTGTAACAAACGTGGGTAGAGACCTTTCCCAAATCTTCATTCGCGAAGCCCAGCCATGAGTGAGTGACTTTACTGGTGTCAATAAACCTATTTTGCATCCACACCATTAAGAAAAAAAAAGACCAAAATGTCTCTGACTTTCTCTTCAAATTAGTAATAATAGTAATAAATCTTTGGTTTATAAAATAGAAAGTTCATAAAAGCTTATTCTATTAAACAATCAAGTAATGAGGGTTAACTTTATTGAAAATAATCTTCTTCCATTCTAAAATATGGTCATTAATATTACTTTAATGTAAGATGACTTAAAATGACATTATTATTTGCATGCAAGATAGCAAAAGTCAAAGCTAATATGCTCTGTTTCAAGAAAGCTTTTTTTTCAACACTGCAAATATAAATATGGCAAATTTGGAGAAACAGGGGAGTAAATAAGAGGTTCAATCACAGATTCAGAGGAAGAGTAAAATTAACATCCAAATCTTCCAGAAAAAATTTCTAATAACTTATATTGGTTGAAATATTTTTCTCTTCGAATTAGATATGGCCCGCAGTAATTTCAGCGTATGATGAGGATTATACCGTTTGTTTTTTTTTCTGCCACAAACTTTTGGTTTTGGTTGTGGTTTTTTTGTTGATTTTTTTTTGTTGGTTAGTTGTTTTTTTCTGGAATCTTACTTGGAATGCCTCTTTCAACAACTGTGCTATTTTAAAATAAATCTTTATGTATGTGTTTGCTACTGAAGCTAGAAGGTAGTTCTTAATTACAAAATTAAATTCCTAATTCCTTGCTAAATTTTGTAAGACTACGTATACAAAAGTATCCTTTCAAGTTAATCAGATATACTCAGCTTTGTTCCAGTTACTTCTGTATTCAAATTTTCTGCCCTGTCAATGTATTACAGTGTATTTCTCTGGAACAGATTAAAGATTTCCTTGCCAAAAATCACACTAAATTAAAAAGACAAGTTTAACCATCATTTCCACTGATGTCAATGACAGGGGTTTTGCTGAATTTGCTGAATACTTTGAAAAAAAAGTAAATTAAAAAATCATTTCCATAAAGTGAAAGTGCTCTCAATACTGCCAATCTTTTCCTTTGGTAAGGGTAAATTCTTACAAAATCAGTATCAGCAAAAAAAAGCAGAAAATTCTCCACGAAAAAGTAAATCGACTCAAGCACTTAATATATGGCAGGCTATCTGCAATACAATCATTCACTTCCAGTTCATCAGCTATAAAATAGGCATAAGTATCTGTCTGTGTGGTATTTGACTGCAATGTCATGTTGACTTCAGTGATATGAGTTGTCTAAGAGTGCTTGGTGAAGAAAAATTCTGGAAATTCTATATCAAACATGAACTGTGGGCAGTGTCTTCTCCAATCTGTAGGCAGGCTGGCACATGGTTATAAATGACATGAAATGTTTCAGGTGTGAGAGCTGAAAGTGTCTGCTACTCCAGACAGCATCCTTCTGCAACTCACTTCCTCCATCTTTTCCACTGCTCGGGTACAAGGCCTAACCAAGTCCCTAGCTTCCCGCTGACAAATATAAAATGAGTTTGCATGTCACTATTTGAGACTTCTGCAGGACAATGAAAAGCTGAAAATGTAAGGATTTCACAAATATAACAAATATTTTTTAAAACAATAATAACTGATACAGTAACAAAATTAATTGATTTCAACCTGTGTATTTAATAAATAAAAGAGCACACAGTGGAAGAAGGTCATCAAGAATATGTGGACCAAGTACTTGTACCAAGTACCAGTCTTATATCTGAGTGACTATATGACTTCCTCATCTCTCTGTGCCCCTGGTCTCCTCCTACACCAAAAGCCCTGAGCAGCTCATCCCACACCAGGTCAGAGCCACCTCAAATTCAGTGTTCCCTTGACAGCAAATGTACAAAGTCATTCATTCATCAATGTGAAGAGCCCACCACCAGATAAGAGCTCATGGAATTGTGACTTCCCATCTCCTGAGAATTTTAGTGGAAACGTCTCTTACACCCACAGATGTATAATAAATACCAGTAGAAACCCTGTCTAATAAAGGTAAAATTTAAGGTTTAACAGCAATGACAGCTTCAAATGCCATCCATGTTCAGGACCTTACAGTGCTCCAAAAAAAAAGCTCCAAACAGCCTGTCCAATCTCAGACACATGGTGGAGCATGGCTTGTTGCTGGAGACCATGAGAGCATGGCAGCACCTGCTGTTTAGGCCTACTCAAGCATATTAGAAAACTGGCTGTTTCTCAATGGCAGTTCTATTGACTAATTCCATGCCAAAAATGCATTTTAACTAAGAGGTAAAATATTAACTGGTAAGGGACTTGGGAGAGAGTGTAAAGAAAGAACATTGTTTTATATCTGTTGTACTATAGGATTTCTACTCCACTTGTGCTGTGTTCTTGTTTTACAGCACAAATATATATTATATGCTCAACCAATTCTGTTCAGTCATTTTTTAGGGGTTATCCTGAAACCTGTATTGCTTTTAGTAGTTCTGCCACTGCTGAGTAGAATGAAGTTTGTACATTTGTAGTATAAATCTGAAACAATAATTATGTTTTTTTTTTTTTAATTAAGGCATCACACAGTACTTTTGGTTGTTTTAACTATGCCATTAGCACCACTCAGGTACATTATTACAAACAGGCAGTAATGGTATTTTGCTATAGTGCAGAGGCAAAAATGGAGCAAGATACTCTTTGAGTGTATTCTTTGAAATGACAGAGATACGATCAACCATAATATAATGCATAAACCCCCTCAGTTCCATTAGATGAACAAGAGGTGTTTTTAAGATAAACATTACTTCTTGTTGCTTTCTCTTCAAGTTCTAGTTTGGGAATAAAGGTCTTTTCACCACGGAACACCGAGTGGAACTGGTTCACTCTCTCCTCCTGCCTAAGGGAGACTGTGTGACTAATTCCTCTCCGGGAAACCCAGCGGAGAGTCCACACTCAGATCCGTTGCATTTCTGGTCCAAATTGGCATCTCTTTACTCTGTTGAGACCTTCAACTTGACCCCAAAACTAGATAAAGCTGATTAGCCAGTTTCCTTCAAGATAACGATAATAACCCAAGAGAAAACTATCAGATGATTAATCCAATCTGCAACCAAAATGTGGCTGGTATAATCCCACTGGTATTGGAGACCTGAACTCTACTTTTAAAATGTGTTTGCAGATACTGCAACATTTGTTAGGTTTCTTTACTGTATGTTTATCTTGACTCAATGTTGATAAATAGACTCTTGTGCTGTAAAAAAAGTGAAAATAAAACCAAAAATTTTTAAAAATCTGAATTCCTTTAATATGCATTTCAGAAGAAACAGCATGTAATTCACTGAGTTATGAATGTCTGGCCAGATTCCAACTGCTTATTAACCAAACAGATTACCAAGGAAGAAAAGAGGGGAAAAAAAAAAACAATCGTCAAAAAAAAAAAAAAAGTTCAGCAATTGAAAAATAGATGTTATATGAACTCTCACATATAAGAGTTCTGTGAGGTATTTTAATCAAAGAGCTTGATTTAAGCTCCCAGTTGAACTTCTCAGGAATTTTTTGTTGGGCTCAAAGTTGTTGTAATAATAAACATTCTATTAGTTTCTGTGTGCACAATGCACAATGTTTTGAACAGCTCTTTTAAAATGAGATTGATAGGTCAGGACACTTCTCTCTTTTATTACAGAAATGGATCATGAGGTAATTTCAAACAATCCGTTATTTAAAGTCTGCATAGCAGGGTGCTACTTTTTAGCACAATTCAGCTTAGTGAACCCCACTTCATAGAAGGAAGGACAAGACAATTGAGATTACAAATCCATATATTTTAAGCAACATCTGTGATTAGGCAAACTTGTAGATAGGATATGACCAGGAAATAATTGAACATAGGTAAGCAGTGTTTTAGAAAGCACGTTATGCATGAACTTAATGTGCTCAGATTACTTAAAATGTATTATTTTCCAGTGTCATGTGCATTGCTCTGCCTCTTCTGCAAACTTCAGGAAATTACTTTTCTACTCCGTGGACACAAATACAAGCATATTCTTTGTGTTGAATGTATTCAGACTATATTTGTGGAAAGACATAGACCTTGTAAGGTGCTGAACATCTTTCTAATGGTAGAATTTCAGCCAAGAACCTAACTCATAACCTGATGTGAAAAAGCAGAGAAGCAATAAAATTACAGACAACTAAGACAATTTTTTAAAGTGCTGCCGTAACTCTACATGAACCGAATGAATACATTACAACAAATGGGGACAATAATAATATGCTGGTGATTCATTATAGCAAGTTTTGCTACATTTCTAAGAATATGCCACCTGTGACATGCTGTTGTTAAATTTCAATTTGCAGTAATAATCTAAACTGTAATAATAATCTCTGTTCATTTTAGACCACAAATTGTTCCACAAAACAGTTCTACCCTAAAGAACTTCATAAATACCATGAATCCTTAACTTATAAACAGTTATATGTAAATAGAATGAAGAAATTTGATGAAGACCACAGAAAAGTCTGCTGCCAGGGTAGTATAAGATTGTAACCACTTGGCATGGATTTAATAGTATGGCTGCTGCTGAAGTCAGAGAAAAAACTAATTTTTAAAAATTCCACCCCAGAGTTCATGTCTTGTGAGGCCTTAAACTTCTACAAATCACTTCAAAAATTTAAAAAATATCCAAAGGTGAGTTTTATTTTGTTTTGCTTTGGGGTTTTTTTTTGGCTTTTTTGATGATTTTTTTTAAGAAGGAAGAAAGTGTAAAAGAATAATACTCCAGAGAACACTAAAACATTATAGACTCTATAAGACTTCCAACCTGGTGGTGTGTAATTGAACTACAAGATATTAATGACTGTTAGCTTATCTGCTTGATTGTCTTGACAGCATGGGAGAAGGAATATATATGAATAACTACTATGTACACACAGGTAGGTATCCAGGGCCTCTTTCTAAGTTACTGAATTGATAGAGCTTTTACACTCCAAATTCAGATTCTCGTAAAATCTGTCATAGAAAAATACGCTCAAAGTAATTTACAATGAGGAGGCAAGCAAAATTTCAGTGAGCAAATACACTTCAGGCCCAAGGAATCTCCACTTTCCTTCTAAGCCTTGTTAAAACTTCAAAGTCATAAACCCAAGAAAAATGGCTGTTCTCTTTTTCTAGGCTATGAAATATCCACATATTGGTTCTTTCAAAGGGAAATGATTTCTCATCATGATATAAGTTTAATCTGCCATCTATTGTGCAAGAGTGTATGAAGCATGAACTTGGATTTCAGATTCTGTAAATGTTAACAAATGTTATACCAACAAATGCACACTAACTGCAGGCCAAACTTTGTAGTTCTCACCTAGCAAAACACAACAAAATCTAAAGTGAACAACACCTAAGTAAAGACTACAGGATTTGGCAACTTTAGCCTTACTTTCTTTTCCCCTTGAAAAGCCAAGGCAAACAGATGTTGTTTGGTTTTCTGCATGCCATGGGAAGGTGTGGGAGTGGAACAAAGAAAGGAGTGGGGAAATAAGAGATTGAATTTAAGGAAATAATTGTTCATACCCTTCCTCCCCCTACATAAAATCCACTCATCCAGAGAATCAGTGTTGAGGGTGTGGGTGCAGTTCCTGGGAGACTTCAGGAGATTCAAGGTCAGAAGGTTTCTTTTGAAATTCATTCTTTACCCACTGCAGTAATGAAACTGGAGTCTCACGGGTCCTTGTTCAAAACCACAGTAAGGTACAAGCTGATCAGTGTGTGCTTCCCAAGGCACAGTAATGGGCTTCCTGTGCCTGTTAAGGCAGAAGTATGAGCCTGAGACTACACTTCATTGCTAAACAAAGTAAAAGTTATAGTGTTAGTCTGCCACTGCCACTCTATTGATCTTCAGTGTCAAAATAAAACTGAGATCTTTCTTTCAAATTAGTTTCAAGGAAGAGGTTTTCTGTTTATAAAATAGCTAATCAAACAGAAAATGTCTTTAGTAATTTTCCTAGTTAGAACAGCTGGGATCAGCTCATCACTGTGTGGGTGTAACCCAAATTGTATATTCTACACCCTCCATGCCATTTCCCAGAAACTGTTATCAATAGACCATTTACAGCAGCTGCCCAGAGCACACCTGACCCCTCAGGCTATAAACTGGATGTTAAGAGGCCTCTGAGATAGGAGGATGCTCCTGTCCTCATACCCATTGTGGAACTCCCTGCCCTGAGGGAGGTACTGGGCACTCTTGCCTGAACCTGAGGGTATATAATCTTGGGGTCTTGGGACTTCTATACCACTTGTGGGATCCAGAGAAAGACCAAAACCTCAACTGGGCTGCAACCACCACTCTCGACCAGACTGAGATCACGACTCACATCAACAAGTTTTTCTCCTCTCCTTTTACTTTTGGACTCAGGGGACCACGTGGGGCTCAGCACAGGAGCCAATGAACAACAGGGTTATACGTCTGGGTTTTTGTGGGCTAAAACCAATTGTTCATCTGTATAATTGTATTTATTGTATTATTTTTATTAAATTGTTATTCTGATTTATAATCCTTTTTGAGTTGGGTTTATTTCCCCTGCTGGTTTACCTTTAAAACAGCACAGTAATTTATAAAATGGTAAGTTTAATGTAAGACATATAAAAGACATATAAGACATATAATAATACAAATATTATTAAGTAATATTATTCTCATGATTGTGGTGCTATATTATTCTTACATTGTTAGACAATCTGCAGAAATTTGTTCTGCCTCAGGCAATCCTTACCTATGGCTATACATCTGTTGTTACATACATTTTTCTCCTTATGATAAGTACTTTGATCTCTCAGAAAATGTTCAGCATCTGATAAACTGTTAACATAAAACCTACATAGAACCATGTGAGGACTGAAAGGATCATAACAATCACAACTGTAGTTCTCAGAAAACCCAAAAATACATAATGGAAAAATAAGGAGGGGGGAGGGCACAAGACATATTCTGATTGTCAGTAGAGATTTAAATTCTTTTAAGCATCAGATTATTTTTTTTTTCAGAGATGTCCCTTGGAGATCTGATTTTTACAGTTGTCATAATCCAGCTTCGAGTAAAATAGTTCCCCCATAATAAGAAAGAAACCTTTACAATTCAGAACTCCTCTTCCAAGGAGCCCATGTTATTGAGAATATACTTAGCCAAGCACAGGCATAAATTCATAATGCCTTTATTTCGGTACCTTTAATATTACATTCTGCAGAAAGTTATCAATTTGAAACACACAGTTTAGTATGATTTATTGTTAGCTGTAGGTCAACCTTTTCTATTAATACAACAGATTCTTATAGAGAAGAGGCTCACAGTGTAGCCAGGATGTGGATGTGTGAGGTCCCTAGGAAGCAACCCAGTAACTCAGTCATTCTTCTATTATTTCATTCAATCATTTTCTTTGAGAAAAGAAAAAAGCATTATTCCCCACTGCAAGGTATGAAAATTAGATTGGCCCAGTTTGAGCAGGAATCTTAGAATTAAAGTAGTTTTGAAAGCAGTAAAACTTGTTTTAAGGTGGCAATCACCTCCACTGTCATGCACAAAAAGCTTTTGACTATGGAGAAGAGAGAATTTCTCCAGGCTTGTAGTTTAACAGAGTCTGGGCTTGCTAGATTTGATTTCTCCCTTGGAGGGATATTTCTTTCCTTTCCCTCCTCCAGTTTCCGGACTTTTCCCTCCCTTTCACATCTCTCATCATTTCACCATCAGTAGGTACATCAGAACCCTGTGCTTCAATGAGGTTTTTTATGTAAAAGGGCTCAAGAAAGACCTATAAGCATGCGAAAAGAAACTTAACAAACTTGGACCAGAAGTAAATGCAGATGATGAAGAGAAAGATACCAAAA